CAATTCATATAGCAATTGGCATGGAGATAAAGTAACGAGTTCGTTGGGTTACTTTCTCCAAGTAACACCCAAAATTAACTGCCACTTGGATTATATACAAAATGCATGTGCTGGTATGTAATTTTGCAAACCCACATGGAGAAAATTCGTATTTTACTCGAAATATAATACTAATTTACAGAAACAAGTCATAACAAATCAATACGAAGCCAAACACATCGTTAGTTGATAAACCACACCGCAAAAAACCCTTCAGTTAGATCCAACCAAATATGGAACAGAAACAAGCAACCCGCAATAGGAATCTTGGAATACAGACAGAAGCCAATTTCCCAACCAAAACAATACACAGAGAACCCATATATATCTCACCTTCAATTAGTTTTCAAAATGACAAGTCACTGCAAACACAAATGACAACATCACTCTAAACAATATGGGAAATTTACAACTCGTGGCCTTGTACATAAGTAACATTGTGCCATGTCCTGGCATTGTACATAACCAATTATTTACACGTTACATACAGCAATCCGTGCAAAATGAAAACTACATACATTATTTACATGTGTTTTCAATAGCTAGTATTGTCTACCTGATAAATTAAGGGAATAAGTAAATCATAAAAATTATACAATTACCTGATTCACCTCATCAATTGTGGTCGAATCATTTTTGCACACTGATGCTTTAACACTACCGTATTGGCCCACAGGCTGCTTGGAATCAGGAGAAGCATCGAAAAATAGTCGTCATTGCTTAATGTGCGGTGTACTTGGATCCACCAACCCAGTTTTGTAGCGAATGGGCAATGACTCCGCATTGTACTCACGGTCAGTTATGTGGGTTGTATCTGCATCTGAGTTACTACCCACTGTTTGGCTAAACCGAACCTTAGGACACGTTCGCTTTGTGTGCCCAATGCATTTGCAATTCCCACATTTTCTTGGTCTTCGACAGTTGGACGAGGCCCGTCCTGGGTTCCCTTTTGTCTTGACAACATCAGGATATTCTACTCCAAATTGTCGAGGGAATGAATGTTTCCCCTTGTCTCCATTTCCATCGTTCAGATTCCTCTCATATAACTCCTTCATCCGGCTCGTCATCGGAAGACATGCATCCCTAGCCTCTTTAAAACCTTCCGTTGATTGCGTGGCATAGAAACACATTTCATTGTACGAAGAACTCCACATCCCATACCGGGCCGTCTGTGTTGCAGTGCTATCAATTGAGGGTTGAGGCCATTGCTGGCCATCCTTGCTTGCAGCCCTTGTCCATCTATGCAGCACACAAGTTGGGGAAATTTACGTTAAATTTTCGGCTTTCATAACACATATCATGCGACAACAAGGTAGCCCCAACGACTCAAACTTCATGCAAGAACATCTCATTACAGCATCCACTGGACTATGTGTTACTATCCATGATCTATCTTTCACTTTGTACTTATGAATATAGTAGCATTTCTGACCATTCGCCAAAGGGAACACGTCCTTGACATTCACCTTCCCCTCTTCTAAGATTTCATCACGGAACATTCTAAATATATTTCGGGTGAATAGCTCAGCTCCATGTCTCTCTATATCTCGCAATGGAGTAATCAATACCAGAAAAGTGTTATTTGTTTCAGCATCATCTCCAGCTTCGTTATACCTTATCCTTGCAAGAGCCCGATCATAGTTCCTAACAAGTTCATATAGCTTCAATTTGTGTTGGAGGAATGGATTGAAATAAGCATTCATACACTCCGAGCTCTGAGTGCTCTTCATCCCAGCAAAGAAATGTCCACGCATATATGCCTCAGCCCACATATGACGCATCTCATATGTCTCCAACACCCAACTGTTGGTTTGAAGTCCAAATTTTTCAACCATTGTCGTCCAGTCATGCTTAAACTTTGTCTCATCCGTTTCTATGTCCATGCACTGCTTGAAAGCATGTGCAAAGCCACTTATGTGAACATTTGAAACAACATTTTTCCCAAGATGCCAATTACATAATCGATGTCTTGCATCTGGAAATACTCTTCTGATTGCCTCTCGCATCGACTTATCCCCATCTGTCAGTACGGACACAGGTGCTTTATTGCCCATCGCCTCCATAAATGTTTCCAAAACCCATGTGTATGTCTCAATTGTCTCATTAGCTAGCAAAACACATGCAAATATCGTGGTCCTAAAGTGGCTAGTCACACCAGCCAACATGACAAAAGGTTTCTTGTATGCATTGGTTCTGTAAGTTGAGTCAAATATCAACACATCACCAAACTTTGCGTAGTCGGCCCGCGATTTCGAATTTTCCCAGAACAGATTTTGTAACTTGTTATTGTTACACACATCATACTTGTAAAAAAAACGTACATCAACATCAAGTTTTGCACATAAGTAAACCAACACACCCTGTGCATCACCATCCTCAACTTCTGCTCTACGTTCGGCTTGAATATGGTTGTGCAGATCCGTACGGATGAAACCAACATTCTCATAAGACCCAGACTGATTTACCATATAGTCCATGATTTGAAATGACAAGTCACTGCAAACACAAATGACAACATCACTCTAAACAATATGGGAAATTTACAACTCGTGGCCTTGTACATAAGTAACGTTGTGCCATTTCCTGGCATTGTACGTAACCAATGATTTACATGTTACGTACAAGAATTCGTGCAAAATGAAAACTACATACAGGCCCAAACAATGGCCCCCTCGTTGAAGTTAAATATCATATGACTTGGACCCCCATGACCCCCTCTCTCTCTGATTGGCCACTTTTTTTTTTTTTTTCAATTTCTTATTTTTTTTTCCTTCTCCAAACAGCAGCCCCCACGTGTGTGTGTGTGTGGGGGG